CTATCATTATTGGATTGACTGTGGAGGGTTGTTAGTTTATATTAATTGCAAGTGAAGTTAGCTTCTCTCCCAGAAGAGTAGGAGACAGGATGGTGGTCTTATATTCTCCATGAGTTGGTGGTATTTAATGTAGTTTCCTAAACTAAAAAGCTGAAAACCCTGTGATTCTTTCCTCTCCCCTCCCCCCTACCTACTTAATAACTCAGTTTTCTTAATTTACCTTTCAGATATTTTTCCAGACCTCCATTAACGATATCCATCTCCCTGGTTTGACCTTTGTTTTTCCTGTGTTGACCATAAATAGTAGCTTCCCAACTGGTCAGAATACCTGCCAGTCTAGTCCCCTGATACCCTCCCATCTTGGTTCTGCCAATCTAATCAGTCTGCTTTTAAAAGTTCTATAAGGTGCTTCTAGCAGTGGCTCTTGATCTTTTGAGAGATTCACATTTTTTATTATAATCTGATGCAGATGATAGACATTTACCTCTGAAAAGTATATTAATGAGTATTTGCATTTCATGGACTTTGATAAATTTGGAATTTAAAAAAAATTGGAATTTTGAGGATGCTGGAGATCATCTTAATTTTTTTTCTTGTTTCATTTGCTGAGAATGCTCATCCTTCTATTCCAGTTTTTGCATCTGTTAAGGCTATGTTTAAATCTCCTTTCTTCCAAATACCTCCACACCTAAAAACAATGGGTTAGATACATCTTCTCTCTGCTCTCCTACCTCCGTTGTTTATGCTCTTCAGTACCTTAAGGAAATCTAGCAATGGCTTCAAGTTAGGAACCAAATAATTTTGGTTCCCTTCTTAGATTCTAGCAATGCTTATTAAACAAGTGAAGTTAAAGCTTTTTAAAGAAGCTTTTCAGAGTTTTTCCTTGGAGTGAAATATTTTGTACCCCTGGAAATAAATATGAAGATAATAGGTTAAGAGGATTTTAACTAAATGGACACTGAGTGTTCTCTGAATTTTGAATAAATTGTTTCTAAGGACTCATCCATTTAAATTAGTTTAATTATGGACATCACAAATAAATAATTTCAAGATTAGGTTTAAATGTCCATTTACTTAAAACCTCTTTATTTAGCTAGTTTAGGTTACTGTCTGACCTTAGTTGTGCTTTTCTTTTTGGGAAAAGAGATAGAAAAATTCCCTATATTTGAAAAGATCAGTTGTGTAAACATTTAAATACCTTTGTCAATTTTTATTTAAGTGTACCACCTGAAATTCTCTATATGAGAGTGAACATTAAAGAAGGAATCCAAAGAACAGATCTCTGGAGTTTTAAGATAATCTACTTTAAGATTTCTTTTTCAGTGTTGAGAGTTCTTAATTTATTTTGTTCAGTAAATGATATTAGCACTTTATATTAGCACTTTAGTACTATGTGCTTATTTAGCTGTCACCCAAATCTTGGAAAGTACACATACTCTTGACTTGAAAACCCTTCAATCTGAAGGGCATATTTAATAAGAGCTGCAAATATATAGCATAGTCCTTTAATCGGTAGTGAAAAAGAAATTGCTGGTGTTGCTTGTAAAAGCAGGGGACAAAAATGTTCTTGTATAATAGCAATGAGAAAAAATGGTGACTGAACAGTGTTTGAGTTATAGAGCTTGTGTCAAAATAGAGTGGGCAAATATTTTTGCTAAATGGCTTTAGTCTGAGTTTTGAAAAATTAGACCTTTTGGTGTGATCAAGGCAGAATCTTAAAAATTGGGAACTGGGCCCCCAAATTCAGGACACAATGACCATAGCTTAGGATGACTGCTATAGTTAGAGCCACCTTGTAGAGTGTTTTTAACGGCTTGATGATAAAAAAAATTTAGGCAATTTTTGACTTGTAAAAGCTTGATTCACTGTGTACACAAACACTGTGGAGGTGCTGCTGAATTTTATTCAGTGTCTAAAATTTTTGCTTCTTCCAAGTGTTCATACTTACACTGCAATATCTTTGAACAAAATGAGCTTGCTGGCCAGATGCAGCATTCATAACAGTGTGAAGCCTGCACCAAAGAAAGATTTCTCACTTGTGTTCAGAATTTTCTGTAGCAAACAGGCAAATTAGTAAAACTTTATGCACTCTCAAAAGGGAGAGCAAAAAAAAAAACAGTATGATGCTTTTATAGAAATCTAAACTATAGCAGTAATTATTACAGGCATTTTGAGTATTATTTTATTTCTTTATATTATTCATACACGTCCTAAAGATTTTAATTCCCCTTTGCTAAATAGCTTGAAATTTCACACAGGCTGGTTTATTAGATACAAGATGTTAGCTTAAATAAAACCTCTTGTTTTTTTATAATTGTTAGTTGAAAGGCCAACAAAGATACTGTATCCTCTAGTTTACTCCCCAAATGCCTGCAACAGCCAGGGCTAGGCCAGGCATAGCCAGAATCTAGGAACTCCATCTGGGTTTCCCATGTGGGTAACAGCTCTATGCATTTTTTCCCCTTAAAATTAGTTTATTTGAAAGGCAGAGTCAGAGACAGAGATCCTGCATCTATCTACTGGTCCGTTCACCAAAGGGCTGCAACAGCTTGGCCTAGTGTGGGCCAGGGGCCTGTGACTCCATCCTGGTCTTCCATGTGGGTGGCAGGGACCTAATAAGCTCTTGGGCCATCCTCTGCTGCCTTCCTAGGTACATTAGCAGGGAGCTGGATCAGAAGTGGAACACCTGGACTCGCAAAAGAGAAGGGGATGCCCCAGGCCAGCCAGTAGACTGGACAGGGAGCCAGACTCAGGGAGGAGTCAGTGGGTTCCACAGGGGCTGCGCCAGGCACCCAGCAAGGGATGCCCGCATCACAGACAGCAGCTTAACTTGGTGCACCACAGCATTGGTCTCGTGTGGCAGCTCTGGCCACTGCTTTTCCCACATTCATTAGGAGAAAGCTAGAAGTGAAGAGGGGCTGCCAGGACTGGAAACAGCACTCTGGGGGTACTGGCATTGGATGAGGTGGCTTAATCCACTGTACCGCAACACTGCTTGCAAAACAACCTCTTTTCTAATTTTTAAATTTTTTTTACCGCACTTCCTTTCCCTCATCCTTCAAAACAAAAATTGGGGGGTTTACAGATTTGTTTATTCTACCTTTGACTATTAACCTGCTTTTGCTGAGGATTGGATGTTTTAGTAGGAAGAGAAAATAGCTAATTTAGAGTGTTGTAACATTGGAGTGATGGGGTGGGGCTGGAGGCAGTTGCTGTAGTGTAAAAACATGCACATGAGGTGGTAGGAGAGGTTGGGAAAGCTGTTAAGGCTCAGTCAAAAATGAAAGGAAAATTTCTACTTCCTATGCTTCATTCTTTAGTTATCATACTCCTAAACCCCAGATTTTGGAGGTTATCCATACTGTTGCATTATGCTTGTGAAACACTGAAGCTTTCTGAAATTATAATACTTTGGTTCTTTCAGTGACTTTTCATACCTGGAAGCAGCACAAAAATTCTTAGGTGGACTGTGGTTTAGTTTCAGAGTACTGAGATTATTGTGTGTATAGCCTCCTGAGACCAGGACTCGGAAGTAAAGCCATTGTGGGTATATAAATATAAGTTAAACCTAAGATATAAGATGAGTATTTATACAGCATGTAAGTATATGAATTATAATTTAGCTATACCCATGATTGAGTCAGATGGAGTTTGGTTATTCTTTAGGAATCCCATTTAGAGTATTCCAAGAATTCTTTAGTGGTCCTGTCTTCCCATTATCATTCCTTTTGAGCATGCTTACACATATTCTGTATCTTTCCATGTTTTTATCTATGACAATAAACTGTTAGATTTATATTTCATTATTTTAGAAATGGTCTGTATATGTTAGTATCTTGTGCCTAAAGAAAACAATGAAAAGTTTTAACACTTAAATTAGGTTAACATTTTCAGTTAACATCTTTTCTACTAGAAATGTCAGCAGTTTTTCTCTTGGGGAAAAATGATTACTTCATTTATTTAGCAGAATTATTAAGTAGTGTCTAAGTGCACTATTCAAGGTTATAGAGAGACACAGTTCTGCCTTATTAAGGGAGCTTACCCACCTAGTGACTGAAGAAAGTCATAAAATTATTGATTCTAATATTTGTGGTACTACTTTATTGTTTAAGAAAAGTCTTTCAGGGATAGTGACTTGCCCAAAGACACACAGTTGACAGTTGGTACAAGTAACATTTTGAAATTAGATTGTACTCTTTTATAGCACACAGTCGTTAATTATTTTATAGGAAATTACCTTAACTTCAGCAATGCTACATATAGCTATAATGAATAGTTGTATGATGAAAGACAAAGTTTTATAAACATAAGGAATTTTGAATTCATGAACTCTTCTTACTTTACAGTTGATGTATTTATGGCCCTAAAAAGAAGGTATTTTGAAAGTTGATTGACGAGTTATATAATTGAATATTCCTATAGTTGGAACACATTTTCTCCTTAGGGTCTATCTCTTACTAGATTTAATTAACTCCATTGACCTAAGCTGTTTGATTTCAGTGTTTGCCAAGACTTAGAATTTACCTTTCAAATGATGTTCGATAGGCTGATAATGCCCACATTATTTTACTTTGATATTTCAAGTTCAGAGAAGCATACTGTTGCTTTTCTATCAGAGATAAAGCAAATTAATTCAATTTCTAGAAATGAAAATTTCTTAAGGAAATAATTGCTCTTTACACTTTAATTTTAAATGTTCAATTTATGTCCTTAGTGTATATTTGACATGAATAACATGATGCTTATTATTCTTTAAATGAAATCTTACTGATCTTCAGTCAGATGTGTTTGGTCATTTAAATAATAGCAAGGGTTGCACCCGGCTGTTGATTCCTTTCAGTATTTAGGGTGATGAATGCTTCAGTCTCACAATGCATAATGATTACTCACAAGTTAGTACATTTGATTAGTACTTTTAAAATGTTTTTGTTTTCCTTGGTTTGAGGACTTTAAAAAGTAAACAAAATTTAATAATATTAATGTTTTCCATCCAATTACAGGAGTCAGAAATACCATCAGAGGAGGGGTACTGTGACTTTAATAGTAGGCCAAATGAGAACTCTTATTGCTATCAACTTCTTCGACAACTAGATGAACAGAGAAAGAAAGATATCCTTTGTGATGTCAGCATTGTGGTGAGCGGAAAAATCTTTAAAGCTCATAAGAACATCCTGGTTGCAGGCAGCCGTTTCTTTAAGACTTTATATTGCGTTTCAAACAAAGAAAGCCCTAACCAAAACAATACTACCCATTTAGATATTGCTGCAGTTCAAGGTTTTTCAGTCATCTTGGACTTCTTGTATTCTGGTAACCTGGTGCTCACAAGCCAAAATGCCATTGAAGTGATGACAGTGGCCAGCTATCTTCAGATGAGTGAAGTTGTTCAAACTTGCCGAAATTTCATTAAAGATGCCTTAAATATAAGCATTAAATCAGAAGCTCCAGAGTCTGTAGTTGTGGACTATAACAATAGAAAACCAGTTAATAGAGATGGTCTGTCTTCATCACGGGATCAAAAAATTGCCAGCTTTTGGGCAACACGGAATCTTACCAATTTGGCAAGTAATGTAAAAATTGAAAATGATGGTTGTAATGTCGACGAGGGCCAATTAGAAAACTACCAAATGAGTGACAGTAATTGGGTCCAGGATGGTTCTCCTGAATTGGCTGAAAATGAATCTCAAGGTCAAACAAAAGTGTTTATTTGGAATAATATGGGCTCCCAGGGAATTCAAGAGACTGGCAAAACAAGGAGGAAAAACCAAACTACAAAGAGATTTATTTATAACATACCACCTAATAATGAAACAAATTTAGAAGATTGCTCAGTGATGCAACCACCTGTTGCCTATCCAGAAGAAAATAAGACGCTAATCGTCAAGGAAGAACCAGGTAAATATTGTATATACAAAGGTATCTCGGTTTTCATTCTGATTACATTTGGATATAATCTTGAGTATATTTTGAAAGTATGTTTGTAATTAAAATGTTTATTATAAAAGTAGCATTAAATTTGAGTGTTTACAGTAGAAGTGGGGGGGGACTTGAACAATTTTTAGTATATTTGTCTATTCCCTATGCATTGTGTATGTGAATTTCTCAAAAGTATTGATAACCATGGCATTGTCTATATGGATGACCTTTGATTTACTTATTGTAAGATTAAAATATCTTGAGTTGAAAAGGAATTTAATGCACCTAACCTACCAAACATAGCTTAGCCTCATCTATGTTAAATGTGCTCAGAACATTTGCATTAGGCTACAGTTGGGCAAAATCTTCTCACACAAAGCCTATTTTATGTTCTGAATGTCTCAGTTTATCAAATACAGTGCTGAAAGTGAAAAACAATGATTGAGTATACTTTTTGCACTATTACAAATTTGTAAGTTGGGCCACTTTAAGTTTTGGATGTGGACTCCATTGCATATATAGGTCTTTGACTTTCCTGATCTTTTGCCATTATGCTATTTTTTACCTAGTGCTGGGATAGAATCTTTATTTGTAATATATAATCCGCTTGTCATTTCAAAGCATTGATGAGACCTAGTCAGCTTAATCATTTTTTTGGTATTTAAACATTTAATTATAGAACTTATAGAAGCTGGAATATTTTAAGTTTATATTATCGTGGTTGAGCTTTTTAAGGAGTGGAGGACCATTGTTAAAGAGTATAAATAGAAATATTTATAATATTTTGAAATTGAAACTTTATTTTACATTTAGATTGTGCCTGTGTTTGAAAAGCAACTTGGTGGGTTTGAGGTTCCTTATGCATACCTCACATTTGTCTACTACTGTCTTGTGATTTGATGCTTGTTTTCCAAGCACTATGAACCACTCAGTGTCTGATTTGCATGATGCTGATAATCTGAGGATGGAGTACTTTTGTTATCAGTTTGAGTCATTGTTTTGTTTGCTGAGAGGGCAAAAAGGGATAGTAAAATTTTGTGAGATGATTTTGCTAGTGTTTTAGTTTGCACTAGTAGCATATGTATATAATTAATACTATTTACTGATCTGTTCCCTTATTGTACATCAAGTTTTTAGCAGTAAAATCTCCAAGACACTTAAAAAAAAAGTATTGAAGTTAGATAGACTTCTTAGAACCTGTTTTTGGTGTCCTTAATATAGAAGATCTTGACAGATTTCTCAAAAATTAGAGCTATATTGTCTTTCTACTGCATGGATTATTCCAGTATGCTAGGAACCCTGTAGTGTTTTTAAATATATGAGTGTGTCCATCATATATACCTTTGTGTATACATACACACTATTTCTTTAAAGATAAGCAGATCTTTAGGGGAACAGTTGATCAACAGCAAAATCATTCAGAGCTAACCTCATTCTTAAAAGTCAATTTAATTAGAGTGATTTAATATTAATATTAAGCCAAAGTGCATGCTTTTAAAAAATAGCATTAATAGCAACTATGTTAGCAAGCATCTTTCATTGTTTTTATTGGTGGTCTAAGTCTATAATAAATCTAATAGGCTTTCAATTTATCTCTTATTTATAAAAGATAATTTTATTATACCATTGATAACACTTTGGCATTTGAACCTTGCTTTAACTCAGCAAATTGGTTGTATCAGTGATGTGCTGCATTCCAACCGTTAAGCTTTTTACAACTTTTTAATACCTTTAAATCCAACTTCATTCAATTGTAGAAAGTAGGTCTTATTAAAAAAAAAGCATTAGGTTGGCATAATATGTATTAGCCAGGGGTTGGTAGATTTTTACTGGAAAAGGCCAAAAACAGTAGCTACAAGGGATCTTCAAAGACTTCATGGATTTTAATTTTTTTTCCACCAGAGTAAACATCTTCCAAATCTATTTTTTCATGAAGTACTGGCATATCATCAACTTTCCTGGCCGAAAGGTCATCTACTCAACTCTGTAATTTGTAGCCTATAAGCAGTTATAGGTAATATGTAAGCAAATGAATATGGGTGTGTTCCTGTAAAACTTTATTGCCAACCCTTGGTATAGAACAATGAGTCTTAGTCATGGCCACATGTTATCAGTTTGGGAGCATTACATACCATGATGCCCGAGTCTCCTCTAGGAATTCCAGTTTATTTGGTATGCAATGTGGTCTGGGTGTTAGAATTTTTTTTAAAGTTCTGTAGGTGATTCTGCTGTGAGTCAAGGTTAAAATCTGCTGGTAACAGTGGAAAGAGCCTAAAGTGAGTCAGACATAATGGATTTGAAAGTCAATTCTGCCACATACCTAATATGCCACCATGATCAAATTGGCTCCTTCTCAGTTTCTTCATCTTTAAAATATGATGCTTATTTTATTAGAATTATTACTATAACAAAATGAACACAAAGTACCTGAACTGTCACAGTCAGCTCTATCACCCTTAAACCTGGGGATGACTGTTGGGGTTATTTATATCAGTTTTCCAGTGCTATATACTGTCTACCAAGTGCTCACCTCAGCCTGACTTTGAATACTTACAAAGATTACTTTCTTAAGCAGCCTGTTTCAGTGTGGAATGACTAAATTATTAGGAAGTCATTTTATTTTGAGCCAGAATTTGTTTTTCTTTAACATCATAAATCTGTCATTTTGAATCGAATTTGAACCTAACCTCTAATCCTTCTAATCTACCTGATGGCCCTTCAAATATTAGACACTTAAGAAATTCCCCCTGAAGCCCCATTTTTTATAAGTTAAGTCCTGTTTCTTCTATCTTGTGAATATACAGAGTTGACTAACTCCAGGCAATTTCTGACCAATATAGAACACAGTGGGCCTGTGTTTACCAAGGTTAAGGCCTTTCTCAAGGTTATTCAGCTAGTAAAAGTAGAGAGAGGCAGGTTTCATATTTAGGTCTGTTTCATTAAAAGCTTGGGATTAACCACTAAACTAGTAGACCCTTGTTTTATAAAAAAACATTAGTCCCCTTTAAATTTAAAAGGTTTTTGTGTATCTCTATTGTATAGGCTTTAATTTCCAGTTATTGAGAATATAGTGAAAATATTTTTAGTGAAATACCTTAAGAGGAATTTCAAATTCTGTACCAAACATATGAAAAGTCGTAGAGAATTACTTAATCCATAAACAGTACAGGGCATATTTGGATTTGTGGATCCCGCTTGTAGAAACCATGGATTACCCAGGTTTTTAAGTCCGCAGTTTGTAAAATATAGCTCCAATAACATGTCTTCATGTAATGTTGAAGCTGATTTGGAGTGCCTTATAAAGATTGAGATAAGAAGGTATACCCATACCATAATTGTCCAGGATTTTATTCACATGTGTTTTGACTTTTAGTTTTGTTTTTTAATCTTGAAGAAGCTAGCCTGTTGACTCAGTATTGGGATTCAGTTGAGATCATGTCTGATATTTGAATATGTGAAGTGGAACTTGTAAATTACTTCTGTTTTATTGGTGTTAAAGCTGTTAATTGGGGGGGGGAAAGTGTCGTTAATGAATTGCCCTAATGGAAAAGAATTTTCAAATTCTTGTTTTGCTGATTTGCAACTGGAAAATATTAAACGTTATCTAAAGTAGATAAAAATATAAAATAAGAAAATAAATTGTAGAGAAAAATAATGCTAAATTTCTTTTACAAAATACATTCGTGTAGGTTGTTGCATTTAATCAGAACAAGTCAGATACCCATCCTATTTTTTTGTTGTAGTTCTCTTAATGCTGTCAACTGATGGGACATGGTTTTCTGAGTCTAGGTTTTATATTTATACCAGTTGTACTTCAGGTTCCACCCATTGTAAATAATTATACTCTGTATATGTATTATACACAAATATATTTCATTTTTTAACAAAATCTTTGAAAAGACATTAGCAAAATAGAAGTAAAAATTAGCAGAGCAGAGTGCTAGTCACGTGTGAATATGGTTTTCCTAATGAAGTTTCTAACTGGCTCTAAGGTACTAAGCAATCTTTATGGAAAGGAAGAAACATCATTTCTGTAAGATGACAGACTTTGGGTACTGACTTCTGAAAGGAATTTCCCCAGAGATGTTTTATACAGTTAGCAATGAGTGGTATAACAGTTTCTTCAAGTGTTTCCTAGTAAGTGCAGCAGATTATTTTGATTTTTATCATTGACAAAAGTTAATATGGATCCATGTTGGTGATTGATGTTTTTCTTAATACCTCACAGATAATTTGGATGGAAGGTGATTTTTACTTGATCAAAATATATAATTTAGTTATTTTGATAAATCTAGGCAGTGCTTTCTCCCATCTAGTCTTATAATGGGAAAATAGTTTTAGTAGCATGTGTAAATTTGTATTAATCCTGACAAGTAAAGTTGAAGTCAGCTTTAATTTGTATAATTGCCTTTTGGTTAGAAGATCTATAATTTAGTATTTAGAAAACAATTTTGAGGAAAAAGCATCTTCAGACTAGATAGCTTTAAGGAATCTTAATGAGGTATGTGTATTTGAAGTAATGACTTACTCTGTATAGTATAGTAAACTAATTAATTAGACTAACCAGCATTTCTGCGTTTCTGTTTTGATGTTCAGTATTACTTTTGGGAACTGGAATCCCAAAATGCTTTCAAAATAATTACATTTTTCAGCTTATAAAACCATTTTTAAAGTTTTGATTTTAACCATGCTGTATAAATTTAGTGTATAAACTATTTTAAACAAGTTTACAAACCATGGAAGTTGGCTTTGATAAAGAATACTTGGACTTTGGGCTCAAGTTCTGCCACTAACTAGCTTTGAATATATCTGAAATGGGAATATATTCTCCAATGGGAAAGAAGTAGAACTTCTGCCTCATAGTCTTAAAAGCTGTTAAAAGCCCAAAACTTTTTGTTACTCATTTTGGCAGCAAAGCCAGTTACATTTTTTACTTAGTTCCTTAAATATTTGTATTCATACTTTGTTGCAGAAATGTT